TCTTTAAAATCCTGGTAGAAAAGCAAATGAAAAGGTTTGTCATCAGAGAGTGTTTTTCATTTCATAGATGAAAAGGTAATTCATATCTTGAAGTCACCCAGGTGCAGTAGTAATGACTTGCTGTTGCAGCTTGAATACCAGGAAAGTGCAAAATTCATCAGTATTAGACTTTGCTATAAATATGACTTTGTGTCCTCAGCCTGAGCCTTCAGTAACAAAAGCATTGAGAATGCAGATTTATTAGGATCACTGAAATGTGAAAAGGAATACATGCAACTTGTATGTAGTTGCAGCAGCAGTAGTAATGTATTACAGCCTTAAATGTGTGTGTAGGGATATCCTTGAATGCATTTTTGTCAGGATCAACAAAGGCTTTTCACAAATGATGGAAATCTCTCTTGGACCCCTGTGCCAGGAGCCTGGGGCAGTGTCCTGTCCCCTCTCACACCTCTGCCCTTGCAGCCAACTGTTACATTACCTTGTTTGGAGGCTGCTCAGGCTTCATCTTCTAATGAATTCCTCCCCTCCTCCAGCACCCCCAGGGAAGACTGTTCAAGAGTTCTGCTCCTTTGGCTGCTGGAAACCCTTTTCTCATTTTTCCTGTTTAAATTTATTTCTAAACTCTGTTTCCCAGTGTGCTGCACACATGACTTTGTGGGTTGTTGCTGGCTGGAGTCTTGTGCAGGATTTTATTTTACCTCAGTGTTCTTCCTAATGTTTACTGTAAATTCCATACTTTGTATGTCTTAATAGGGAATTTGCTGTCTTGTGTTCATCCTGTCACCACCTACAACACCCAACTCTCTTCCTCTTCTGTCCCTTGCTGTTGCTGAGACTCCTCTTAGGAAGGTTATCTGCACTGTATGTCAGAGCCCTAAATACTCAACCTTAAACAATACTTCCAACTTCCTTCCATGATTCTAACTGCAGTCCTCAAGCTCTGCTATTCTCCCTGGGCAAGATTTCTGATTATTGATGGTAGCACCCTATTTTGTGTTGCAAGCCCTCACAGTTCACACCTGTTCAAACATGCAATCATCAAACATTCCTGTTGAATATCCACATGTTTGCAAATGGATATTCATAAAAACAGTTACATGTCTGACTCAGGGATTTAATAAATAATCATGAGAGCAACATGAAAATTACATAAAACAGCTTTCAAGGAGAGAAAACAATTGAGTAACTACTTCTGTTCTCATTATTATGGTGGTGGTTTTTTTCAGTTTTTGGTGCTTTGTGTCTGAAAATGATGATAGTTTGTGGTTTGTAATTGAAAGTTTGATAAATCAAGTTTCTTTCTGATTGAAATTTTGTCCTTTAATAACTGGATAGGTTTGGGGTTTTTTTTCTGAATTCTGTAGTAGCAATAATTCAAAACCTGGGAGATCTGGACTTTGGAGAGAAGAGATTCAATGGGAGTCCACTCTTCTGGCTGGAAAAATGGGCTTTCTGTGAAGAACTTCTTGTCCCAGCCGCAAATAAATTTTACTAACCTGAAAAGCGCATATACATTGTTTTTAAAAAAAATTAGTTTTCTGACAACATATATAACAGGAGGGGTTTAGGTGAGCACACTTGCACTTAGACCCTGAGCCATCATTCTGCAGATGAATAAAGAGTTGGAGAGGGAATCCCTGTGCCAGTGCAGCTGGAAAGAGATCTCTGTTCCATGATCTGCAGTTTTGAAAGTGCCAGATCAGATCAATATAATGATGATTTTTTCTTTGGGAAGCTTTCCTGAGACTGTTGTTTATAGGTGTATTATACCAGAGTCATTTTGCTGACCTCTTTGCTTTCAAGGTTTCCATGATGAGGCTGGTAATATTTACACAGCTCAACTTCACAGAAAAATAGTATTAATGTGACTGTCTTTAAATTATTAACCTGTCATGGTTTGAGATAGCCCCAACATCCAGTTCCCTAGCTCCATCCCCCCTCCCACATCTCAACCTAATGTGAGAGAGGTTTTTCCAGACAAAACACACTAGACTCCAAAGTGGGGGAAAGGGAAATATATTACAATGACTGTACAAATAAATACCATATCACATTATACACATGATCATAACTATCTCTACCATGACATATAGTATTTACAATGGATCAGATCTCTTCTCCCCTCCAAATAAAAGTCCAGGAGGGAAAGAAGGACAGATCCCTTCCAGTCTCTGAACAGCAACATCTTCTGAGGCAGCAGGTTTCTTCTCATCTCATGCAGCAGCTGATAGCTGGCTTTCTGCCAGCGTCCACGAGGGAGGTATTCAAGCTCCCCCGGCCCCATCGCCTCACAACCGAGGGGTCTTCCGTGGTCTTCGTAACCCCAGACAAGGTCGTATCACCACGTCATATCACGAAGACACAGGGGGTTCTTCGTGACGGTCTGGTATCTCTTGCAGGGCCTCTGTGCCCTGTCTCTCAGGCTGCCACCGTGGCAGCAGTGCGAGGGGGGGGAAGCCAAGGTCAACTTCCCCTGCATTCCTCTCGGAGCTCTCTAGCTCCTTTCTACAGTGCATGTCGCACTTCAAGGCTCTTTCAAGTAAGAGCCCATCATCTTCCTCCTTCCAGGAGGTCTCAAAGGAGTTTTGGGGACCTGGTATCAGTCTTACCCCCAAGAACTCTGTAGCTCTCAGCTGCTGGCTCTCCTTTCCTCGACTCTCCTTCCAGGAGTCTCCTCTGCGGTGCTGCATGTTGCTTCTGCTGCTTCTTCAGTTCAGGTTCTTATCTCTGGCTCTCTGCCACTGTTTCTCTGGTCAGCGTCGGCTGCTGCTCTGTGCCCATGGAGAAAAACATCTCCCGGCATACTACAGGCACCTAGCCCAGCTTTATGCTGTTCCAGGTCCCTGCAGCCCCCAGCCAGGGGCTGGGAGGGGGCCAGAGGCCCCAAGGGGCTCAGAGCCCCTACCTTGTGGCTCTACAACATGGCCACCTCTCCTACAACAACCCAAAAAACAACTCTTCTTTTCCGGTCTGGTTGTGGTATGTTTACATTTCTGCAGGAGCGCCCATTGGGCAGAACTTCAAAACTTCCAGGGGTTTCCACCCCTTGGGGTCTACCACTTCTCTTAGCCTCTGGGGAAAACAAGGTTCAAACCACTACATAACCATTCTGCCCTGTCCCAACATTTTATATTCCATGTTTTACAGAAGAAAGAAACCCTATACTGGAAATGTGGGATTGTCAAAGATTCCCAAGTTATCTGTTCACCTAGGAAGAAATGGTATTCTGCTATCCCGAATCCAGCTTTATGATCACTGGGGGAAAAAATTTGTAACTAATTTATTAAAACCTAAGAATGACAATAGTCTAATTTTTTTTTTTTTTAATAATGACCCAAGTATAGCGTAGCTTTAAAAGAAAGTGACTTTTTTTTCTATAAGCTGAATCAAGGCTATTATCTGCCTGAGGGCCCTGGTCAGTGTAATCCTGAGAAGCTGAAGTTACTCTGTTTTAATAACCTTTCTGTTATTGGTCCTCTAATAAGTGTCTGTATGTGTTTCAATTCAAGTGAGTTTGTGATATTTTTTTTTTATTGCAGGGATATCCACCCACAACAAAATCTTATTTTGCTTCCACACTGCAAATTTTTCAAACAACTTTTGTCTAGTAACAGCCTTTGGATACTGTGGAATTCTTACCATGTCTAATTCCAGGTTTAAAACTGAGACTTCACAACACTGGTAATCTTTGCCTGAAAATAAGATGTTCCTTTTCCCACTTCACCAGTGTAGCGCCACGCTCATCTTCACCCCAAAAATTGGTGACCTGTTTTCTTGAGGAAGTTTAGGTGTCTTTTTTATCACCAGCATATTATTTCTGCCACTTTATGCACCAACTTGGGGTTCTTTATTTCTTACAGTGTTACCTCACAGTTCTTTCCCAAATGGTACACATGCACGCAGGTGGATTTATTCAGTTTAATATATTTAATATAATTACCATTCTATGGACCCAGAAATAAAATGACAGAACCCTACAGTGCCCCTCACAACAGATCTTCTTTGTATATAACTTGACAGTAAAAATATGAAGGTGAGAACATAAAGCAATTCTGGATTAAAAAAATTATATTTGACTTTTTTGATAATTGGGTAAAAGCAATGGCTGGATTTCTTTCTGCCTGTCTTTCGGTAAGGTTATCTGATAGTCCTGCCCTTGGCATGTTTCTCTTGGCATGTCAGACTTTTGGAGTGCTAAGAATGCCTGGATCTTCTAGATCTCAAGCTGGTAGTAGATCATTCAGTAATAGATTTCTCACTACTTAAGTAGAATTTGGTTCTATGTATTTTTGGTTCTTAAAAATGTGAAGTTACTTGATAAAGGAAAATTTCTTCAGTGCCCTGTTGCATTGGCAGAACCAATATTATGCTTTAAATAGTTCATAATCCTGGAAGTTTTTGTGTGCTTTATTGTGCCGTGTTTTTTTAATGTAAGTAAACTTGCTTTTAATGTTTTATTTATTGTCCTTTATAAAGTCATGGTCATTGTGATTTTCTTACTATATTATTTATGATAAAATGTCAGAATTCTGCATAACCCCCCTTTCTTTTAATAATATTTTTTGATAAGTGGGAAGGAGTAAATAAATCTGAAGACCTTGATTGTATAGAAAATTGCTCTTGCATAAATTAAACAGACTCACAGGATTAAATGGCACTTTAGGTGACTAGGAGGAACAGACAGTGACATATGAAATAATGCCACGTATACAAATAGCAAATTAGGGCCACTTAATTTTTCCTGCAGTGCAGGAACTTGTGCTGCTTGGTGGAATTGATAAGTGACACATTCAAAATCCCTTTTTGCCATGTAAAGGTTTCTTGTAAGACATGTAAGTCATTTAAGTTTTTAGCAGCAACAACACGATATTGAAACACAAAGTTTCGTAGCTGCTGGAAGGGGGCTGGTTTTTGTTTGTCAGACGTTATCTTAGTTCGACACGAGTAGCAAAGTTACCAACCACAAAGGAAAATAACCCATTTCTGCATTTTTTCTGCAGACACCTGAGGAGCTGGAAGATGTGTCTGACCTGGAAGAAGACCATGATGCACGTAGTCGTACCAGTATCCAGACTGAAGGGAAGACTGACAGGGTACGTATCACACCAGCTGATGCTCAAAGCGCTGGGACCAGGGAAAAATGCTACTGTGTTACTGTTCCTGTGAAACCACTTAAAGTCATCCAGTGAATCATTAAAATCTTTTTCAGCTCTTAATAGATTTCTGAAAGTGTGTGCAGGACATAAAGCTGATGTGTATGACCTGAAACAGAAAGAGACTGCAATTAAGTTGGAAATACTTTGTGAACGTACAATTAAACTGAAAGTTACTGAATAAAATTCCAGCAGGTTACAGTTTCATAAATGTGGCTTGGTCTAATAGAGGCTGAATTAATAAGGAATGGTTTTTACAAGGGTCTTACTGAAGCCTGCAGTGTGTGTTAACCAAAAATAAGCTCTGCATATGAGAGACTTGACATGCACAGAAGAGAAAGGGATAAATCTGGAATCTGAGCCACTGCAGTATGTGAGTTACAGACATTTCCTGCTGCGTTCATGTGTGCACCTGTTCTGTAGTTTATTGCTTAACTAGGGAATTCATGAGGAGGTATGAAGATCTTCCTACAGCATTGGACAATGTCTGTATTTCTAGAGGTTCAGAATCTGGCATTCCTGTTGTAGCATCATTTAACCTCAGGACTCAACTGCATTGCTTGGTTTTGTTTATTGTTTACACTAAAACATTTTGAAGAGCTTGAGAACATTTTTGAGACAGCTATAGTTTCCTTAGTACAAAGTCAAAGTATTTAGCAAACATTCGTCTTCTTTATGTTTCCATTTTAAATAATGTTTCAGCAAAACTGTTCTCTATTCACAGCTTTCTGACATGGAAAGATCCATGGGGCCAGAAGTGTCTGCTTCATTACTTGTTTGCTCAATACCTAGAGCAGTAATGGATCTCTCACTCTTGATTGATTCTAGTATTACTCCTATAATGGAAATTATAAATGATAGAACTAGTTGGGAAAAAGGCAAACTTTTCCCATGAAAAGAATTATGTCAAAAATGGTGGTTTAATTCATGTCTGCTTTTCAGCAAACGCATTTTTTTATTCAACAAATATTTTCTTTGTTAACACCCTAGATACTAATGAAAAAACATTAACCAAAATGAATGCAGTTCACTTGTGTTGCACGTGTGCATATCATTTTTTAATTAACTGTCAGTTAATTCTTAAAACGTTGTGAGAAGTGTAATAACTGTGTGAAAGACCACCTCATACAGTCTTATTTTTCAATAAGCTTAACTGGCAATTAAATTATACTAGCTGCCCTTTGCAATTTAAATCAATCTTTGTGAATGTTAGCACATTTTCCTCAAATTAAAGGCTAAAATTTGTATTGTAGTTAAAAAAGGCAGGGTTTTCCATCAAAATGTCATCCATACAGAACGTCATGAATTTTTTTGGAACAGATACAGAGGGTGTGCTTGCATATTTTCATAAATATCCCATAATGAATGCAGTTGAAGGTTTTCTCTCACTGGGAAAGCAGAAGTAGTAGTTTGTAGATATTTACTCTGAAAATGTAGTAACAAAAGATCCACTAAAACTTTAAGGATCACATTTTCGTGCTCGGTCTTCTACTTCTCAAATAAAACAGTTTTTCAAAGGGAATGCTTTTTGTGAAAAGAAGGCCATAAATAACACATTCCAGACAACTGCACAAAGTGCTGAAGGCAGTTGTAGGTAGGGAGGTGGCTGTCCAGAACCAGAGCTATGGCAGAGTTACTGCTGTGGAGAGATATCTCTGGGATGTGCTTGTGCTGCCACGGGGTATTTATTTAGTCTGCGGTGTCAGTGAATTTGGTGGGGAGGTGGAAGGGACTGTTACAGATAAACTATGGTTAATATATCTGAAAAGAACCTTTATTATAACATTAGAGTATGTACTATTTTTTCTTCCATTTCTCCCTAAAGTAATGCAATTGCTGTGAGTGTTCTTTTTTTGTGGGATCTAGATAGCAGTCATGACTTAAAGCCTGATTCTGTATCTTGGAAAAAGTTTTCCTAAATTTCCAAGCTATCAAGGCCATAAATGGCACATTACCTCCCAGAGTAATAGAAAATTATAGCTTTGGCTAAATTATATACATACCCACTCAGCCTAAATCAACATATTGACAGAAACCTGCATACACTTTTTTTTTTTGACAGATCTTTGAACAAATCCTTTTGCTGCTGCAGCAAATAAGAACAATGATTTAAGGCCTCTTTATTTGGACTCCTATTTGATATTGATATTGATATTTGAAGATTTATACCTAGAACCTGTTTAGCAGTATGAAGAGTCTGTAAAGAGAAGATAGATTTTGAGGTTTAGACAGAGTTTGTGCCATTTTGTGTTCTGCAGCAGATTTCTGTGCTGTTGGGAAGCTGTTCCGTGCAGGGCTGACACCAGGAATGACTGTGTTTCAGAAGTGGTTTGGCAGGATCGCAGAGTAACCTTTTTTCCTCCTTGAGTTCTTTCTCTTGGGCATTTCAACTATAATAATTCAATTTTATTTATACATATCTGGCTCCATACTAGTTCTGCGTAACAGCACTCTTGATTCCTCTTGCTTTGTCAAGAGTGTTGTAATTTCTTCTGTGTCACATCTCTCACTGCTCCAACAGGGAACTAGTGCCTTTTTTCTTTCTGTTTTTATCACAACATATAAAACCAGATGTGATGTGTGTATGCCAATTGTAACAAAGGCTACATCTTAACTAGCAAATCTCATTTCCCTTATGCAGGAAACAGTCATGTATTATTAATCACATCTTCTTCAGAATCTATGTCTATAAAGAGAGAGTATAGGTTAGTGGTGAGATAGCAGGACTGAGATTTGACCTTGTATTTATGTACCTGACTCATCTTGAAAATGTTACTTCCTTGATCTCTTCCCTCAGATAATTCCATTTTTCTGAGATGAATATGATAGTGCCTGTGGCACCAGCTCACTCTGTGGGATACAAGTTAACTTGGGCAATGTGCTGTGAGATCTCTCAGTGTTTAAACTGCATAGAAATACTCATTGTTTTTTGTAGGGTGATTTTATATCCTTGAGGAAGATCCTTAGGATCAAATCCTTAGCTACTATAAAAACAGGTACTGCTTATGGATCCAGGGGCTAATGCAGTTTTTCTCAGCTGAAAGTTAGACCTCCCTCTGGTTGTTGTGTCTAATTTGTGTAGTCAGCTCTGCAGGCTTATCATACACTAATTTTGCCTGAGGAAATTCATGCCATCATGATCAGAGTAATTCCACTGAGGTAGTTACTGTCTTATTATCATATGATTTTTGTGTTGAAGAGAAGGTCAAGTCAGAATTTGCCCCATTCATTTTCAGGCTTAGAAGACAATGTACAGACAATGTTAATGATCAGAGAAAAAATATTCTAAGTGTTTAAAGTTACTAATTTAGTGAAGAGAACAGCTTAGCTTCATTTCAGAGTTACTGCTTCAGGATGAGGTGATCATATTGAAGAAGAGGCAAAGTGTTTTACCTCATAACATAATCCACTTAGGGATGACAAGAGCAGAACTGCTTTCAGGCAACCACCCACCCACATTGTTTTTTTCAGAGTTCTGCAGACAGTTTTGTTGAATGCACTGACAAAAACATCTGAGAGTAGGATCATGTTTTGTACAGGTTTGTTCCATACTATGTTTGTGCAACAATTCTGGGCTGATAAAAAATTGGCTCAGTAAGTATTGTGAGTGAGAAAATCCAGGCTGAATTATTTCACTGTTTTGTTTGCATTGCATTTGAAATACAGTGATCAATTATATATGTCTAAAAATATACCAAACTCTAAGAAGAGAGAAGATATATAAAAGCAAACACCAAGAACTGTTGATACTTGCATAAAAAATAGAGGGGAAGTTAAGTTTGCCATCAAATGAATTAGCTATTCTTATTCAACTTTACATCTAAGTTCCTGCATTAGTAGAAATGCTGGTATACATTAACAGGAAGCATGTGCTATTTTGTAAATAAAAAAGCCAATTTTAGAATATTTAATTAGTTTAATTTTTATCAAAGCCACTCACAAGCATGAAATACTAATAATAAGAATTCAAACATAATGAAAATAACTACTGTAATTTTGAGTAGGTTCTATGAGTAGTAATTTTGGCACTTCATACATAGCAAAAGTAGTCATGATCTATCAAAACTATTTAATTTTCTTGCCAATTTTTAACCCAATTTCAGTAAAGGGGAGAGATTAAGTTAAGGTCTCAAGGTTGTAGTATATTATATACTGTTACAAAGTTTTTTTCTTTATACCTCATATGTGGCAATTAGGCATGTTAGTACTAGTCTTATCTGCAATGGACACAGATATGTGACATTTCTTTTCTGCATGTATAATTTTTTTTTGTACTTGTACATCCTTTTCCTATGTCCTCTCTCTTTTGAAAACTCCAGGTTAAATAACTCCAATAACCTTAACTTATCCTTTAAGATAGTGGTTTCTCTGTGTCCTTTTGGTCTGTTTTTTCTTTCCTCTGGATGCTCTGCAGCTTGTTAATAACTTCTTAAATTTGGTGTCCAGACTATTTATATTGCTAAACTCATTCAGCCAGCTGTGGTCTCCGCAACAAGCACTAGTGTAAGGTTTACACTGTTTTCTCCTGTATGAATACTTAGGAATGAGTTTTGGACGAGGTTTGCCTTTTTAACGACTACAAATCCCCACCCACAGAACTGCCAATAACTGGTTTTGTCTCAGGTATGTGCGTTTCGGCGACTTTCTTAGGTGTGAAGCCTCATGCTTTTCTCAGCTGAAATACATCCCATGATTTTTTCAGGTCAGTTCTCAAGTTTCTCAAGACTGCTTTGAATTGTAAACCAGGCCTCTTCCCCTGCAAAGGTGTGGTGTGTATTCTGGGTTGTGTCATCCACGCCATTAGTGAAAATACTGACTAATGCCAGAGTCAGGGCATTCCCTTCAGGACTTTGCCCTCTGGTTTGGTGTCTGTTCTTCTTAAGTATTCTGTGAGCAATTTTCTGACCAGTATCACGTCCAACCAATGGCAACTACATCTAGATTGTATTTCCCTAGATTATTTATAAGGATGACATGAGAACCGGTGGCAAAACTCTAGTGAAGTCCAGATTTATGACGTGTTGTTTTTTCATGTGTAGCCCTATAGACCTGGGACAAAGAGAAATTAGATTAATATGACACAGTTGCATCATCTTAGTCCACCTTTTTAGCAGAGGCTGATGCAAAAATGGTGTTAAATGTTTTTTTTCTGTTATCTCCCTATCAATTTATCCAATTATATTCTATCTAAATATAGAGGGGGACTGTCACGGCAGCACAAATGAGGCATTCTCTGAACTTGTTCAAAGAATGCTGGACTTCAGCAGGCTTGCTACAAGTCTTAAAACTGGGAGAAGACAACTGGGGACAGCAGGTAGTAAACTTATCAAAAGAAACACAGCTTCTCCCTGCTGTCAGTGTCACACACCCACAGACTTCATCTTCTGGGACATGTGTTCACTTTGCTATGAATTACTGAATATCCACCATTCTCTTTTTCACTTCTTTATCCAAACTCAAAAAAATTATTCCATTAGGAGAAAAAGTAGAATTCCTTAGATTAGTTTTGGTTTCTCTGTGTCCTTTTGGTCTGTTTTTTCTTTCCTCTGGATGCTCTGCAGCTTGTTAATAACTTCTTAAATTTGGTGTCCAGACTATTTATATTGCTAAACTCATTCAGCCAGCTGTGGTCTCCGCAACAAGTTTTGGTCTCATACTAACTTTCCTGATAAAATGGAATCATCGAATCACAGAATGCTTTGGATTGGAAGGGACCTTAAAGACCATCTAGTTCCAAACCCTGCCACAGGCAGGGATGCCAAGTTTGTTCAAGAAAAAAAAGCAATTAAAGGTCATGACTGGAACTGTTTTGCAACAGTTTGATTGAAATATGTTGCTGTCCTTTGAGTGACTTGGAGGGATCCTGTTCACTTCCACCAGATATTCAGCTGGCTGCAGCAGGAGAGCAGGGACAGAGGTGAGGTGGCTCCTTGTGGCTACTGAGTCTGTGGTAGAAGGAAAAGCTTAACTCTCAAATAAGGCAAGGCAGGGACATGAATCAGGTCTTTTGGGATCTCTGCCATTATCTTATAACCACACTATGTGAAAAGCAGTTTATTTTGTGTTTTTGCTTCTACAAGCTCTGAAGAGTTTTTCACATGCTCAGTCAGGAGAGTGGGGTTTGTTTCTCTGCAACCTACAAAATTGCAGAAAAACAGAGTTTTCCTTTTTTCTTCTCTGTAGTTACATGACATATTGCAGCCTACAAAGCAGGGAGTGTTAAATAATTTTCAAAGAGAGGTTCTTTGCTCTTGCTTTAATGTATTGTGCTGCTTTTGGTTGCTTTTCTTTCCTTCCTGGTTCCTGTAAATGGTAAGAATTTTGGTGGCGTGGATCTGGCCAGGCATTTGGTTTTAGGGGTCAGAAAGAAAAAAAAAAAGGCATGTCAATCTGAGACTTAGGGACAATAATCTTAAATTTATATAAAAGTCACATCCTTAGAGGGAGGCCAGGGACAAAGGTAGGCAAAAGGCCAGTTCTTTGAGTTGGCATCTTACTGGCAAGTAATGCACCAGCGAGAGGAGAGTCAAAATCTTCACCAAGTAGTTACTCCACATGTGTCCTTAAATGGCCTTAAAAGTTCAGTTTCTCTGATGGAGAATCGACTGAATCTTGAAAGGGGCTGGAATGAAAAGAAACACCAATCTCACAGGGTAAGTCAAGTTGCAAATGGGAGAACGCAAATAACATAAGCCCAGTGCTGGAGAATCCAACTAAAATAAATAGCCTTCTGAGGAGTTAATTCAGGGAAATTAAAGACAAAAATCTATACCTTTTTTGTAATAGAAGAAAGAAAATATCAAAAATATAACTGCTCCTCTCACCTAGTCTTAATTCTGTTATCTGCTACTGTCTTGGAAGTAATGAAAAAGTCATTTTCTCCCGGTGGACAAAATAAACCTGTAGTCATGTAATAGCAGTCATTCAATTTAGATCTTTATTTCACAATTACCATTATGTTGCCTATTTTGATACAAAATCAAATCTGTGCTTAAAAGGGTGTGTATCCAATTGTTTTATTTTGTTGCTGTGCATGGTTTTAAAGCATTATGAGGGAAAGGAGAGAAAAGACAAGGTCAGAATTATAGTCTCCTTTGCCCCTTTGTTCCAGTGGATAATGTGTCTCATTCCACCTGAAGCTCATTATTGTTGGCAGATAGCAGGATACTGTATGTCACAGCTCCCTCATTAAAATGTCATCTTTCTCGTGGTTTCAAGATCCAGGCCTGTGATCTTGAACTCAAACCAGTACAGAAGCTGGGGGCTGGGAAATACCATAGACATCCACCAATCAGCAAACATGCATCAGAGCTTAAAAAGGTCTCTTCCCTCTGTAGCCCAGCTCTTTATTTTTATGTTTCATACCTTTGCCATTGTTGTGGTTTAACCCCAGCTGGCAACTCAGCCCCACACAGCTGCTTGCTCACCTCCCCACCTTGGTAAGGGGCAGGGAATAGGAAGAGTAACAGTGGGAATACTTGAGATAAAGTCAGTTAAGTAAGTAAAGCAAAAGCCGTGCATATAAGCAAAGCAAAACAAGGAATTCATTCCCCACTTCCCCTGGACAGGCGGGTGTTCAGCCATCCCCAGGACAGCAGGGCTCCATCACGTGCAGTGGTGACTTGGGAAGGCAAACGCCTCTGAATGTCCCCTTCCTTGTTCTTCCCCCAGCTTTACGTGCTGGGATATCCCCTGGGTCAGTTGGGATCAGCTGTCCCAACTGTGTCCCCTCCCAGCTCCTTGTGTCCCCACAGCCTCCTTGCTGGTGGGGTGAGGTGAGGGGCAGGTGAGGCCTTGGCTCTGTGTGAGCTCTTCTCAACAATAACAAAAACGTGGTTATTTTACCAACATGTGTTCCGGCACAAATCCAGAACAGCCCGTGCTAACTACTGTGGAGAAAATTAACTACTCCAGCCAAAAAACAGCACACCCAGCAAGCTTATCCTACAGCCACGAGGAAAGTGTGTCTTGGTCTTCTCTGGTCTATTTAGTTTTGTGGGTTTTTTTAACAAAACAAGAGAAGTAGTCCTCAAAACAGTTTCACTTTCTAAGTCTGTGACTATAGGGTAATTCTGACCACTGTATGGTGATTCCTTCCACCATTAACCATTCTATGATTCTCTGTGATTCTGTGACTGCAAATTATAACATAGTTATATGTTGGGAAACCTGTAATTTCCAGTAATTTGTATAAAAGAGAAAATTAACCCTGTACCAGAGTGATTCTAGCATAAATAAGATCTCTGAAAAGACGTGGCTTGAAAAACATATGCATTACGTATAAGACTGATTGCCTGTTATGTTAATTATAAGTAATTCAACCAGTGCCTTAACTTTCTATTTTATTGATGGTAGGTAATGTTTTATAAACAAGAATAAGTCACAAAATATTTACTGTTTAATTGCGGAGTAATTTCAGTGTGTTAATAGTTGCTGCATGTAGTTGTGAGTTCCTGGTGGCCTGAAGGGGACTACTTTCCAGGGAAGGTGCTGGATAAGAACCACAGTGGCAGTAGAGCCATCAAGACCAACAAGCCCAAAGGTCTCCCTGCTTCCTGGGGTAGGAGGTATTATGAAGGGCCAGGACTTCCATGTGGCCACATAATATCTTGGCCCCTGTCTGCCTCCTGGCCTGTTCCTGACACAGAAGGTTTATCTGCCCCTTGTCTGGAGAAGGCTGATGATCTTGGTCATGAAGAAGAACATTAAGTAAAATATTTCTCTCGCCATTTTCAGGAGGTTTTGGTAACCTTATTCACATACTGATTTCTGACGTGCTCATCTGTTTATCTTCTGCAAAGACAGAATATCCATATTTGAACAATTAAGTCTTTTTTGGCTCTTCAAATGGTAATGTAGAACCTTCTCAGGAGAGAGAACGTGCATACCTGAAATTTTTAGGACAATTAACCCTTTTCATTGATTATTTCCTACCCGAATCAATACTGCATTTTGTAACTTGCACATATATCATACTTAAAAACAGTTAGGCTCCTTAACCCTAAGAAATAGGAGCAACTGTTAGTCATATTTCATAAAGGCTCTGTGGAAGAATGTATTCTTTCTCTCACTATGTTAATATTAATGGTTTCACAAACACCACTGACCCCATCACACTGAGATAATTTATTTGGCACAACCAGATGATAGCATACAGATTTTGAAATTGAGAAGTGCTCAAACTAGAACAGTTGGCCCAGGCCACAGTGGTTTTAAACTATATATTTAATAATGTACAGCGGTTTCGTTTTAAAAAAGAAAAATACTCTGATGTAGATGTTTTACAAATCAATTTATTCTATGTTTTAGGCCAAGATGACTCAACTGCCAGAGGCTGAAAAGGAAAAGATAGCTGAGCAAGTGGCTGACTTCAAAAAAGTCAAGAGTAAGCTTGATGCAGAGATTGAAATATGGGATGATACCAGCAATGACATAATTGTTCTGGCCAAGCGGATGTGTGTGATTATGATGGAGATGACTGACTTCACAAGGTAATTATGCAAAAAAAGAGTCTTCAATATTTATAAATTTTGGAGGCCACTGTCATATTGTTCAGGCAGCAAATACTGAGTTTTTAATATCAGGTGACAACATCTTTACAAAATTGAGTGAATAAGCTAATGTAACACACTAGGGAGTGGTACTGAAGTGTGGGGAGATCTGAATTTTTGAACTGTGCTTGTCCTTATTTTTTTTTTGTTTGTCCTCTTTTATTAATTTGGTTGGTAGGGTTTTTGCACATCTTTTAGCACTCTTATTTCTGCTCTCACTGAAAGGGAAAAAACTCCCGAAATAATCTTGATTTTAGGCAGTAGTTTTGTCTCATCTGTTTCCTTTCTACTTGTATCAGACCATGCTGTCAAGCATGAAAAACACTATACAGAGCCTACCCGTGGCAGTGCACTTTCATACTCATGCATATTTTATATCACATTACCTGCTCTTGCTTTCATCAGAACTCTATCATGCTGCTGTATGTAGTTTTGAGGAATGAAGTGTCCTGTAGCAAATAGCTGTCAAAGCTGGCAGTTTTTTCTGCTGCCAGTATATGTTCTATGATGCTCGTTTAGCAGGAAACAATCTTAAATTCAGGAGCTTTCTCTGCCATGCACTGAATTAAATGTTCAGTAAATTTCATCAATGTAATTATACCAAAGGAAGATGGTGATGGTGTTGTCTGCCCTCCTTACCCCCTCCCCAGTCTGGTTAGAAGTAAAATAGTCGCTGGCAGGTGAAGCCTTAAAACACAACCACTCCTGCAAAACACTTATTGTCTCATAAAATAAGTCCATTCATGCAAGGTATGAAGAAAAATCTCAGCCCCTTAGACAAATTCCTCAGGTGTGTAAATGAGCAGCGTTGCATAGAGCTGGACCAGGTAGCAAAGCTGGGCTCTGCTCTAGGCTCGTTCTGGGGAAGACAGCTGTTGCATTTTATCACACTGGCACCTTCCAAATTCACCTTCGTGTGAGAGAGATTTAAAGACCTGCATGGGGGACTCTGCAACCTTGTTCTTTTTAAGAGTATATGATTTGTATGGAGATGTAGTGGTTTGAACCTTGTTCTCCCCAGAGGCTGAGAGAAGTGGTAGACCCCAAGGGGTGGAAACCCCTGGAAGTTTTGAAATTCTGCCCAATGGGCGCTCCTGCAGAAATGTAAACATATCACAACCAGACCGGAAAAGAAGAGTTGTAGTTTGGGGTTGTAGGAGAGGTGGCCATGTTGTAGAGCCACGAGGTAGGGGCTCTGAGCCCCTTGGGGCCTCTGGCCCCCTCCCAGCCCCTGGCTGGGGGCTGCAGGGACCTGGAACAGCATAAAGCTGGGCTAGGTGCCTGTAGTATGCCGGGAGATGTTTTCTCCATGGGCACAGAGCAGCAGCCGACGCTGACCAGAGAAACGGTGGCAGAGAGCCAGAGATAAGACCTGAAGTGAAGAAGCAGCAGAAGCAACATGCAGCACTGCAGAGGAGACTCCTGGAAGGAGAGTCGAGGAAAGGAGAGCCAGCAGCTGAGAGCTACAGAGTTCTTGGGGGTAAGACTGATACCAGATCCCCAAAACTCCTTTGAGACCTCCTGGAAGGAGGAAGATGATGGACTCTTACTTGAAAGAGCCTTGAAGTGCGACATGCACTGTAGAAAGGAGCTAGAGAGCTCCGAGAGGAATGCAGGGGGAGTTGACCTTGGCTCCCCCCCTTGCACTGCTGCCACGGTGGCAGCCTGAGAGACAGGGCACAGAGGCCCTGCAAGAGATACCAGACCGTCACGAAGACCCCCCTGTGTCTTCGTGATATGACGTGGTGAAACGACCTTGTCTGGGGTTACGAAGTCCACGGAAGACCCCTCGGTTTGTGAGGCGATGGGGCCGGGGGAGCTTGAATACCTCCCTCGTGGACGCTGGCAGAAAGCCAGCTATCAGCTGCTGCATGCATGAGAAGAAGAAACCTGCTGCCTCAGAAGATGCTGCTGTTTAAGGACTGGAAGGGATCTGTCCTTTTTTCCCTCCTGGACTTTTATTTGGAGGGGAGAAGAGATCTGATCATTGTAAATACTATATGTCATGGTAGAGATAGTTTGTGATCATGTGTATAATGTGATATGGTATTTATTTGTACAGTCATTGTAATATATTCCCTTTTCCCCACTTTGAGTCTGGTGTGTTTTGTCTGGAAAAACCTCTCTCACATTAGGTTGAGATGTGGGAGGGGGGATGGAGCTAGGGAATTGGATGTTGGGGCTATCTCAAACCATGACAATATATTACCTGACTGTAGCCATATAAATATTGACGAACTGTTCCAAGCTAAACGTCTCACATTAAATTCTCCTAGATTTACATGTTTCTTTCACACCCATTTGTATCTATGCCTTAGATTCAGCCTTCCAAGGCAGGAGCTATCAGTCTGTATATCACATGCCAGTAGCTACACTAACCTATGAATTAATGTCATAGCTTGTTAGATTATACTGTTTCTTGTTAAAAAGCTCTACTAATGAAGAGAAGAACATAGGCTTTGGAAGAAACGCTACAGACAGGCTTTCTAACAAAGAACTAACTTGTTGAGCCAAACCAAGGTCAGATAGCTCCTACAAATATGTTATCAATCAGTTACACCAAAAGACACCTCAAAAATCCTATGTTAAAACTCACCCATTCTTGTTGGGAGGCATATTTTGGTCAAGAAGCAACGGTGTAACTCCAAATAGTTTTAGGGTTGACACGACGTCTAAGCACGGCCAGTTTGTACCATACCAAAGTATGGTAACAGATGTGTGCTTAAATGACAGGTTTGCCTTCTCCGTTACATGTTCTTTTCCATTTTTGTCCTTTAGAACAATTATCCAACTCAAGCCAGAGAGTCTGTTATTTAGGAATTGAGAGGGGAGAGGGATATTAAAAAAAAAAAAAAAAAAAAAAAAAAAAATCGCAAAACTTAAACTATGCTTGCAAGAGAATTTTCAAATTTCTACTAGCTGCTACTTATGTTTCTCAGGTTCAGTTATTTATAGGCTATCATATCTTCTCATTATGATACTCATGTTATAACTCTATTTCCATACCCCCACCCCAGCATTTCCAAAGCCATTAATATTCTGTACACTGTTCTTGAGTAAACCACTTCTGTGACAAGGAATTGCTTACTTCATAGCTACTTTGTTTTTACACGGAAGACCCGTATAAGGATCTAGAGGTTTAGCAAGTCGCATTACTCTAGTTTTGACAGCAGCTGTTTGTTTCAAGATGTATTCTTTCTTCCAGTACCCAGGCTTTTTATCATGTAGAGCAGCACAGCCCAAGGGAACAGCTTCTGTTTGTTCAGACTTCATTTTCCAAGTTGTCCTTTTTGGCTGCAAACAACTGGAATAGATTTTCAGCCAAATTCCACTGAAAATAAAAATAGAATAAAGAGGAAAACCACATAAGTTTCAAGAATAGTCAATTTTTTGTACTCACATTTCACCTATGCTTGAGCATAATGTTAGCAGAAAAATATGAAGTCCCAGATTATCAGCAAACTACATTTGATCTAAATCTAAGTTTCTAGAAGAGCAGTAACTGGAGCCTCCTAGCTATGAGTTAAGAAAATACAAGGGCACGGTTGCACATTTTTCCCCATTTTGACCTTCCAAAAGCCCACGTAAGGTCAGTTTCCGTGGTGCAAACATGAAGGCTCAGGAATCCAAGGATGCTAGATGTCAGCATTTCTCATGGGCTTACTAGGCTATCTAAAAGACTGTGGAATCCCAGAACACATTTCTTGTTCTAGATTATACATACCAAATGAAATCCAATTAAAACTTTCTGCTCTACCATGGTAGAAGAAGGGGGGAAGAAAAAGTTATTCAGTTAAGTCTTATGATACTTCAATCAGGTTAATAAACATCTCAATTACATACACAGAAAATGTTTGACTAGTGCTCTAGAAAATAGACTAATTGGATATTGAGAACTTCCCACTGTTTTATATCTCTCAATAGCACACCAGAGCATGTGGTTTTTAAAAAGCCTTCCTTCCCCTTATGCTGCTACTTCCTTCACAGATAGACACTGAGCAGATTTAAAAATAAAAAAAAATGATAACACAAACAACAACAAAACAAACAGATCTGAGATAAAGCTATCATAAGGAAACTATGAAAAGGTAAGTCTTGTCTCTTTTCCTGAAAATATGGGATCCAGGACAAAGCTCAGACTCAGCAAGTGAAGTGAGAACTGATAAGGGTTAAGCAGTTACTTTTGAAAATTCCTCCCCAAAACGATGCATCCTCCTCACACAAAATCAGCTAGTGGAAAAAGCGGTTTAACAACTCTTACTCAACAAAGATAACCTGTACCCCTCAAGTTCCTCACACAACTGAAAGTGGGGTGGAGGAGGACAATTAGAATCACCTATGTTTGGTGGTACCAGTGTCACTTCAGTCCCTTCTGCATTCTCTTTGGAAAACCTGACAGAAGACATGACCTTCTGAAGACAAAGAAACATGACAGGAATAATGGCTTCAGCTATTCCATGTAAGGAAAACTATGAGGTCACATTTCCGCCCCTCATATCCCATATCTCTAGAACAGTTCATGGAATACTGAGTACAAGAAGTTACAAGAATTTAAACAACAATCTGTGAATAAAGGTTTCCAATAAGTTTTCTAATTCTGAAGTACTAGACACACAGTTTACATAACTGCACTAAAGAAAATTAATAGCAAGAGAAACAAATTCTCAAGAGACATTTTCTACCATTTATCAGCAAGATTACCTTTACCAGCCCTCACTTATCCCCAGGCAAACTTACATTAATGTGGTTTGTAATGCATTTTCTCTCTCCTTGAAGCATTAAAGCATTCAAGGACTGAATCCATCCCACACTGCCTCCTATCCATCAAAACCATTCTCAATTCATCAGCTAAGAATAAGCCCCTACATGCTGAGAGTCAGGTTCTGGTTATTGATGCAAACATACTAAGGAATTTTGAAAAAACTTTCCAGCCTGCTGCTGTACAGATATATACAGAATGCTCCACTGTCATTTTTTGAGACAAAGCTGTTTAAAACACAGAGCAACGAGCTTCCATGACTGGAAAGGTGGGTTCACAGTCAACATGACCATCTGACTTTCGCTTCTACGAAATCGGGGCAGGGGAACATAAAGAACAATTCCATAAGTAAAACAAAGATTTAAGATACTTCTATTTTAAGACCAGAAAAAGCGACCAGGTTATTACATAATATAAAACATTTCCAATAGAGGGAGAAAATTTTTATTTAATTCCAAAGCAGTTTAGAATTGTGGGGTAATGAAAACAGAGGAGAGATGTCCTTGACATATCATCATCAGGGGAAACTGAGCTGTGTATCGTCTCACTGGTCTTAACCAGTTTAAATAGCCCAGTAAGATATCCTTATAACACTCTCCTGTTAACTAGAAACCCCTTTCCAAGAGAGACATCCTTTCTTTCATGGGGAGAGATACTCCACATCTGACTGCATGATGCTGAAAAGACAGAGCTTAGTAATAGGCATTTCCTGCATTTTGAAGGTTCAGGTTCAGGCAATATAGGTGACAGAAGACAGATTTGTCACCAATACCTAGCAGACTTGTCCTCACTCGCAGCTACATGTTGCTTCTTCCTTTTCCAAATAAGCATTGTGCAAGGAGATGAGAAATCAGTTCAAGAAGCTCTAAAATTCAGTTAGGGCAGGGAGGTAGAGGAGAAAAAGAAGGACTTGGAATTACAAGTGTTTAGGAAAGCATCACTGCCCCTTCATTCTCAACTTCTGAAGAAGTCAGGGCAGATAAATCAAAAAGGTATCCAACTGGGAAGTACAGGTTTGCCTCTTTCACAGCAGAATACATGCACTTTTTGCCTCAAAATGTGAACTTAATCTCAAGGCCTCTTATTGGATGTTACTACAAGCCAAACAAAGCTCTTACTGCTAATTCAAATGCCAGAATCAGACACAGTTCATCATCAATCACCACCTGACCACAAGAGCAAAAAGATTCTTCCCCCATGCTCTGGCTTCTCACTTCTCGCGCATGCACAATCTGCAGGTGATGAAAATCCGCAGGCTTTCAGACAGACCATCTATGTGAGCTTCCCACAAGGCATAACAAGAAGGCTGGAAAAACAACATATGGGGCAAGGAGAGTGCAGAAAGGGGGCTCAGAAACATTTCCTTGTCTTGACAGTTATACTGGAAGCCATCAACGCCAAGGAACTGTTCAAGCGCAGACATAATTTGAAGAGCCCGAAGACAAAGCACTGCATTAGGCAGCACAGACACATCATAATGAAAAACTGATGGTCCTGTTGCACAAAGGACAGCACCCTGTACATCCAGGACAGAAGAAAAAACCTAAAATAGATACTCCGCCTAAAACACAAGATCAGATTTGTCAGAGAAATATGCAGGGACTTCAATTAAAACTTCTGGTAATTCAGAACAAGATTTGAGGTCTCAAAAAGGTTCATGAAAATCCAGCAGGAAAATGACCTGGTCCCACTGAACCAGTCAATCTCCTAGATAAAGGAAGTAGCTCTTCCCCAAATTCCATTTGTGCACATACAGTAATCTCTGTCAAGATCAGAAAATGGAAACAGACATTGTTGAGATGGAGACAGATGAATCATCCTTCCCTGTAGAGTCACAATGGTTTTATCCTATCTTACTATCTTGAAGTGGAAAACACATACTAAGATACATAATTTGTCAACTATGCAATTTTTATCCACGCTTACCTGCTGACAGCTTCAAAACATAAATCTGGATTACAGTCTTCCCTTTAGATTAATCAGTTCTAAAGGTGTCAATGCCAATGTAAACCAATTCACTGCACAAGTTTCAGCAAATAAGGGAGAAATGGATTCATACTAGACACAGCAACTTCCTATACAGGAAGACATTTTCTCACTCAAACAACACTAATGCAGCAGAATCCTAGAAAAAAAAGGATACCCAGACATCCCAATTATCATGTACCAACTCAGGTCTCTCCTCTCTATCCTTTCACAAAATTATCATGATACTGGTAGGAGCCATTCGTGAACTCTGTATAAGCAGTCGCTTACAAAAAATATGTTGGTATTTATGTTCGTCTCTTTGTTTTCATGCAGAAGTCACCAAAATTTGACAGAAAGAGCAACACATAAAACCTACTAGTGGATCATTTGATTAAATCAATCCCTTTGCAAAAACCTGATGAAAGACCTAATAAGTAGGACTTTAAAATTATGAAAGCCACTGGCTACACATCACTAAGGACTGCCCAGTTCAAAAAGCTTGTGCAGGTGCATGTGAATACAAACAAATATATGCAAATTTTACAACAAAACAAATGCAAATAGCAACATTTCAAAGCGCTGTATTTAGTTTTCACTTCATAACTCCCACTAAACAACAGGGCCTGCACAGCTAGAATTCCATATAATACATTGTACTGCAGGCTATGAAGTATATTTGCAGCAGAGTAATTGCTCATAGGCTCATGCATCAGTGCTCTGGCATCAGAGAAACTAAATTAAAAAGACCCATAACTCAGGTAACTCAACAGCTGCCTGACTGAGACCAGCACCTATACCCTCCCTCTTCCTTACTTGTCATTAGCCAGATCATAGAAGAGTTTATTCACACAACCGACAGACAACAGGGACACAGCATCCAAATACGAAAATATCTTCAGTAGCATTTCTGATGGCATGCTGGAAAACAGGAGAAAGAAGAACACTGTTAGACTTACCTGCAAATTCCAGAAATTACACAGGCAAAGAATTTTAAATTCAAACCAGAGCAAAACAAAAGAGGTGGAAACTATCAGCTTGTAAACACACAAATCAAAAACCTAAAGAGTTAACCCAGAGTTTGGGTTCTGATTTCACTCTCTTATATATGGCATCTGCGTAAAACAATTCATCACAACTTTTTGAAGTGGCACAGAACAATTACATGAAAAGTTATTGGTTTGCATTTTCACTAACTTTATTAACTTTAACCCAGTTTGACATGACACTACCTCATTCAATCTCAGTTTCTTACTGCTTGTACCACGATTTTAACATTTAGTCCATAACCACCAGTATTTGCCAAAGCTGCAGATATCTCTCCTCCTGACTGTGGCATCAGCTTTCAGGATGGAACAGGACAGAAATGTCCTAGTCAAACAGTAAGATCATGCTCTACTTCATCATAATCTTCAAACAGCATGTGCTCAGAGCTCTCATGCAGTTTTCACCAGAAAAACATGAACTTTCACATAAGAGCCAAGTGGCATCTTGAGATCATTAAGGTTTCTGTGCATCTGGAAGGCTGCCTGAAATGCAAGTGGCAGTCTAAGCATGATAAGCTCAAGATACCGTGGAGATAAGCCACCATGATTTTATCATTAACAGACAGAAACCTCATACCCTTCAAGAGGCACCTCATAACTGCACAGAATTTAAAATACATGCATTTTATACTCTAATTTTTTGGAGCATACAGTATGGTCACATCAAAATCACCACTGAAAATACAAGGTGCTGTGAAAGTCAGTGCCCCAGCTGTGCCTCATCCTTTTACTACTGTGTCATTTACAACAGTTGTTGATTTATAATACTTTATTCCAAAAGCACAGGGCTGTCAAGGGTAGCACGATAATGCCAATACTCCAATGTTTGTATTAAACCTCAGAATCTTAGCTGTAACAACACTGAGGCAATGTGCCAAAACTTGCAACATGCCAAACTTTGCACGGTTATTATGCAAAATAACCCATAAACTGAAAGCCCAAAGTAGTGCATTTTTTCCAAAAAGAATTTAGAAGTGATCCCTTAAAAATAGGCAAATTAAATAAAATAATACACTTGATCGAGAATTCTCAACAGCAGTTTTCACAACCATATTATTCTTTCTTTGAAGAAAGCTGAAAGGATTTTTTTTCCTTTTTTCTGTCATCTTTCACACCAGAATAACAGCATAAAGGTATTGAACTGGCCATCCAATGCAAAACAGAGAAATCTTACACAGGAAGCTACCAAATGAATAAAACAAGGAAAATTAATTAATCTTTCAGGTAAAATATTCTTAGATGGGGTTCTTTGTAAAAATGTAACTAATTTTCAAAAAGAAAATTCAGGATTATATTGAAAGTGCCCTTTCATTGTTAAACAGGAAGGGAAACATTTACCTTTCAGCAAATATGCAACAGTCCCTTATTTCTCCCCCCTCAATCCCACTCCACTATCCTCAGCCTCTCTATACAAAATAAAAACCAAGAATCAAGAGAAAAATACAAAGTTTAATTCCAAATTGGCTTTTATTGAAGTAATAAAACAACAATTTTTATTCTCAAAGAACAACACTGCTCATGACATGCAAAGGAGTTGCTGAAGGCTTCACATGACTTGGAAAAGCTACATATTTCATATGAACTTAGAAAAGGTGGCAAAGGACAATCATGACAGTAAATATTAGAAGGTGAATACAGGATCACGAAGCAGGCCAGGAAAGCAAATCTTTTCAACTCAGAACATTTGACATAGAAATCTTCAAAATATGAACATAATTACTGTAAGCAGTCAAAAGACGGCTTAGAGTCTGCAAGGGGTCTTCTGCTCTTACTCCTAAACTAAAGACATACTCACCTCTCAATGCACACCCTTGGTTTCCGTTTTAGAGCAGGCGTCAAATACAGACTTTTAATTCCAGCATTTACAGTTTCAGAACATTCCCCAGGCCTGGTAGCAAATGTCCTTAGCCTATTTCTAAGAAAGAAAACCCATTAGGAGTCACATCTTCAAAAAATGAAGAAATATGCATATTGCACACACCTAGACAATCAAGGAAGGATTCAGGGAATACATCACATGGCAACTCATAATATCTGCTCACAGATTTGAACAATTATCACCATGTTAAAATACCTGACACCAGGAAGATGTCAGATTTAAACTCACAGCTGTCTCTCCTGTGACTAATCTCTCACAGCAGTCAGAAGGGAGTAGTGTCACTCCACCAGACCAGTTTGAATCCAGTACAGATTTATTAGGGTTATACAGCTGCATCATGTGGTCACCACAACCAAGCCCCACAGAGGTCTCTGCAGTGAGTCGCACTCACTGATTAATCTTCTGTTTTGCAACATCACTCCAGAGACATTTTTGAGCCATCCAACTTTGCTAAGCTATTAAAAGATACCAAATAAAACAATGCCTTGAACCTTTCTCGAAAACTTCTGAGGTTCAAAATTATTTCCTTGAACATACAACAGAATCATATTTGAAACAAAGTTATAGTCTCATTTCAGACTTTCTCCTGCTAAAGTATTCACAAATCTGAGAGATAAGTGTTAGTTCAACAGGCAAGATGGGTATCAGTGTTTTTACAGTTCGTTAGTACATCACAATTTGGATAGAAATTACTTTCTTTTATTCAAGAAAGCAAATATGCATAATTTTTTCACAAGTAAATTCTTAAAATCCAACTGGTCACATATTTTTCCAAGTTTTCTGATAGCTAGGACTTTGTAAGCTGTAATTATAAATACTACCATTAAACCACATAGAAATATTGAGATTGAAACTCTATCTTAATCAAATCCTTGCACTTCATACCCACTAATGCCACCAAGCAGGCAGAGCTCCTCATTCACTGCATTTGTAATGTTTTAAATTCCCAGGTGACTTTACACCATGTTGTCAAACAAGCTCTGGGTTTCTAGGCAACCAATCGATATTGGGGAAAAAAAATTTTGAAGTATATGGGTACCATGTACATTTAACACATGTTGTTCCTGATTTAGGATTGGTTTATGCTCAAAGAAAAATAAAAATAGAAAGCAAAGAACAACTCTGCTCTACACTGTCAACTGGGCTATGTTAAAAAAAAAAAAATCCAAGACGTTTTACTGAGAATTGTTATAACACAAAAAGACATGCATATTTTAGCTTGGGTGCCAATTACTAACAGACTAACTAAACTAGCTTACTATAAAGAAATAAGCAGGTAACAAATACGACCTGGAGGTCAAGCAAATGTTTTACCCATGTATCAGGATCAAGAAGCACACTTAGATGATAAGGCACTAACAAACTTCATTTTTAAAGAACCATTAAAGGGATTTAGGGACAAAAGTCGTGTTCAACAGCAGCAGAGCTATCACTTCTGTATGTTCCAGGACAGCATAGCCAAAGCTATTCTGCCCTGAATCCATGCTGAAAGCATGGAGATAACTAGTTTAGTTATCTCCATGATATAACTTCATAAACTCCAGGTACAGGGGTAATTTAGATAAGAAACTGGGTCCTGGATTTTAAAATACACTTTATCTTCTACAAGCATAACCTGCATTGCCTGTATTCAATCCTTCCTGCTCATTTTAACCACTCCTTGCATCCCTCTCTTCTTCACCTCAGGAAGGAATATCTGAGGTAAGAGAAATGTTGCCTACACATGCCTTGAAAACTTCAATGTAATATATACCCCTTTTGTAAGCTTCAATTAAAAAAAAAGTGCTGAACTTTCACATCTTCCAAAACAAAAATACTCTTAAGGTGTGAACAACAGCAAATCCAATCCATAAACTATTTTTCAAGTACTGCGCGTGCTTAGATTTTAAATTAGTATTGACAAAATACTTTTACACCACATTGACAAAGCTTGGGCAGATAAGCACAAGTCAATGACAGCTGTTATGACTCCTCTTTAGAGACTTCAAGAACAGCCGAGATGCTCTTACTCAGAGGCACAATAACTTCAACTGCTTTTTCATTAGCTTTCAACTTGTGGGACTCAGTTTTGTACCAGTATTTTCACTTTCATACCCTATAGTACTTGCAATGTGATTTGGTTTTTTGATGGTCAGCAAACAAGTCTCTTTCAAGTAACGTATTTTAAATAATGTGTATTAAAAGTACTGAAAGAAACGTGTCTCCTGTTCCAAATTTTAAAGCATACCTGGGGATAAACAGAAATTACAGTAACGCTTTGAAATTTTTTTTCATCTAACAAATCCAACGTCTTTTCACAAGGTGGATATTATCCCACTCCATTTACAGATTAAAAAGAAAAAAAAAAAGGGGGGGAATAAAACTGCGTACACAACCACAGCTCTTGCCGTGACAATTTCAGAGCTAGAAACCAGGGCCGTGGGACAGGTGGAAGGGGCTTCTCAGAGGAGCAATGGGTGTTGAGGGAAAAACAACAAACCACCCTGGCCAGGCAAGGTGAAGGAGGCCAAGCAGGCAGCCCTGGGCCGGCAGAGCCCCGCTCGACGCGCCCCTCGTTACCTGCCCCGGCCCGTCGCCATGGCCGCTGAGCCGCCCCAAAATGTCGGCTTCGCGCCGCCAGCAGCGAGGGAGGGAGGGAGCGAGGGAGCGATGATAGGAGGGGCGCTGTCTCCTCCCGCGGGCCACCGCCGAGCGGAACGGCGGTAGCCCGAAGAAAGCGGAGCCCGGGAGCGCGGCCCCGGGGGCGGCGGAAAGCTTTAAAGCCCGGGGCAGGCGCAGCGCCTGCTGCTATGTCGCCGCCCCCCCCCCTCCCTACGCCCCACGGTGAGCTCCGCGCCAGTCCTGGGAAGCCGGAGCACGGTGTTCTCCGCGCTCGGAATCACAGAATCAATCGATTCCAACCTATGACCAAACACCACCATGTCAACTAGACCATGGCACTAAGTGCAACATCCAGTCTTTTCTTGAAGACTTGCAGGGACGGTGACTCCACCGCCTCCCTGGGTAGCCCATTTCAATGTCTAAGCATCCTTTCTGTGAAGAAATTCTTCCTGATGTCCAACCTAAACGTCCACTTGCACAGCTGGAGATTATGTCCCCTTGTCCTATCACCGGTTGAATGTGGAGGAAGAGGCCAACCTCACCTGGCTACAACCTCCTGTCAGGTAGTTGTGGAGAGCAATAAGGTTCCCCCTGAGCCTCCTCCAGACTAAACTGCCCAGCTCCCTCAGCCTCTCCTCATAGAGCATGTGCTCCAGACCCTTCACCAGCTCTGTTGCCCTTCTCTGGACACACTCCAGCACCTCAATGTCCTTCCTGAACTGGGGGGCCCAGAACTGGACACAGTAACTCGACGTGAGCCTCATCGGTGCCAACTACAGAGGGGGGAAATCATTTCCCTAGTCCTGCTGGCTGCACTATTTCTGATTCAAGCCAGGATGGTATTGGCTTTTTTCACCACATGGCACACTGTTGGCTCTTTTCAGTTGCCTGACTAGCAACCCCAAATCATTTTCCGCTGGGCCGCTTTCCAGCCACCCTGCCCTCAGCCTCCAGCCCTGCCTGGGGTTGTTGTGGCCCGGGCACTTGTTGTAGGACACGGCACTTGGTCTTGTTGAACGACATAACGTTGGTCTCTTCCGGTCTCCATTCGTGCAAACGTCAACTGCAGCGCTTTTACACACCTGTGTGTGCCAGACCAAGAAAAACATACATAAAAAGAACGCTCCGAGCAGCCTCCCCGAGCCCCCTTAAGCGAGGCGGCGGCTCCCCCCACAAACGCGGTTGTGCTGTGGCTGTGGCGGCGCTGGGCATGGCGGGCGCTGTAGTGACCTCGCTGGGAGCCGCTCCCGGCGGCGGGCGGGAGAGGGAGCCCGCCCAAACTACCGCTCCCAGGGCTCGCCGCTGCCGCTCGCCGTCCCAAACATTTCCGCCGGGGCAATGGCGAGTGGCGGCTGTCGGCGGTAAAGGCTCAGTGGGGCTCCCGACCTGCCGCTCGGGGCGGGAGGCTGCCCTGGCTCTTCCCCGAGGGTCCCCCGGGAGAGCGTGGCGAGCGGCAGGAACATTCCTTTCGGCTCGGCTGCCCCCACCGTACCGCCGTGAAGCCGGCGGGGAGCCGTGCCTGGGATGCTGCCCGCCTCCCTCGGGCGGACATGCCTGGGGAGGAGGCTGCTCGCCCCCCGCGGATGGGCGCTGCTGGGGACGGGGACCGGGGCGGGGATGGGAACCGCGTCCTGCCTGAGGTGGCGGCACCAGCCCCCGCTGCTGCTCCGGCCCGCCCGGCAAAGTATCGGGACGCAGGCGGGAGGGCTGAGAGCTGAAAAACCTGGCGAAAATAGCAAAGGTGTGTCCGTGCAAAGGGCGCGGAACGAGGAGACGCTGCTGTCGGCTGCTCAGAAAGGTAAGGCGAGCGGCAGTCACAGTGAGGAGGATGCTGTGCGCTGCTCAGAGAGGCTGTTGCGGAGACGAGTTTTGTAGTCCCAAAACACAAGTATTTGAAAAAAACCCACAACACATCGAATCTCTGAAAACTACCAAGCCGGTTTCTTTTCACAGCGTACTGTTTGAGCAGTTGGTACCTTTCAGTGTATGGATAGCGCAACCAGAACAAAGTGTGGCTTCTTCCCAGCAGCCTGTTGATTTAGTGTTCAGATCACGTCAGGGACATGCAGCCTGTCTCACGGCTGCTGAAACAAGTTCACCTCCAGCAAAAATGTTGAAGCTCTGTCTGTGATACTAGTTTCTTTATGGGGTTGCTGTCAAAGCTGTATGTGTGATACTGGTTTCTTTATCGGACTGCCGTCACTTTGGATGGTGTCATTCACTTCAGTGAAAAGTGATTACTACATAATTAGACTCAGTAATTCTAAGTGCTTTGAAATGGTTTATGAAAAATGCCTTCATCTGAGTAGGAGACTGCAGGAGAAATGATTATTAAAGTTTCCTAGGTAACTTGTGCTTAACTGAAAGGCACACTTTATCACTTTAAAAGATTAGTAATCTCTTTTCAAGTTCTCAAAAAATATTTTGAAACAGAGAATCTCTTGTGACTTTTTTTGGAGTGTATACTTACAATTTTACTAATACTTTAGATCAAACCTGATAGATAAAAACTAATCAGATAAACAGTAGTTAAAGATGTTAATAAATAAAACACATATTTTGGTCTAATATTCCTCCTTTTTGTTGTTCTCTTGATTAGTAATTAATAAAATCAGTTATTTTCAGTGTGTGCAATTTATAAGCTTTTGTATTTTTACTTTTCCCATTCTGTGCATAAGAATTGCAATGATTTTGGATTTAGGTGCTAAATACCTCTTTAGTTCTTAAAAAATGTAGCTCTCACGTACCCAAAAAGATAGCAGTAAGTGCTTTTTTTGGATCTTGAAATCATCTAGTAGGAAAAGAGAAAATAATAAGGCTTAACACAGAGATATAAACATGTCCTGTACAATATAAGAGATGTTCCATGGTCTCTTGCTTATAGTAATGAGACATTATGGAAACTGTTACTGGAATTTTTTCTCCTGCCAAAATGTTATTTGAGCTGCAGACTAATAGAAGAGCATTTACATAAGAAAGCTATGCAAGTTTTATTATCCAAGGTTGTAACTTCTGTGTTGTTTTCTGTCTTATTTCAGTGAAAGAAGCTGGAAGAGACTTTACCTATTTTATTGTGGTGCTTGTTGGAATTGGCGTTACAGGTTATTTTTTATGATTACATTCTTTATCAGAAGACACTTTTTATAAATTCCGTCAGGTTTGGTAAGTTTTCATTCCATTCACTGTTATTTCTGTTACAGGTGGTTTGTTCTACGTGATTTTTAAAGAGCTATTCTCTTCTTCTAGTCCAAATAAGATCTATGGAGATGCCTTGGAGAAATGCAGATCTCATCCTCAGGTTGTTTTTTGGACTTTAGTCATAAGTTTATGTTTCTCAGTAGTTACTGTCTCTTTTCAAGTCAAAAGTTTTTGCAAGGAATCTCACAAGCCAAGCTATGGGAAAAGCCATGTGGTGCTTAGAAGATCTTGTGGTGCTTTTAACTGGCCAGAGGTGGGTCAGCTTCAAACTGCAGCCTGTGTTAGGACAGGTCAATGCAAGCATTGAGCCTGCGTGAATTAGCCTGCTGGAAGCCAAGTGAGTGTGCCACAGCACAAAAACTGATGCAAATACAGTCTGCCCTTCAGAGCACGTGCTTGTGCCTACATGCAGAAAGTCTTACAGATGTACCTGAGTACCTGCTACATGTAGTACTTAAGGAGTTCTGCAGGCCACAGAAGCAACTGGTCCCTCTTAAGTTCTGTAAATCTAGCCTGCTGCCTTTTCTCAGCACAGTTATTCTGTTGTGACACTTCACTACGGTTCTGTCATTCTGTGAAACACTGAAAAGATAGATACCCAGAAATGTAAACTTCCTCCGGTTAGTCTTCCCGTGGCTAACAGGAAAAGAGATGCAGAACAGTCATGGGATCACACGGTCATCATAGCTAGGTGTAAAGAAAAATCAATCTAAAACTAGATTCTAAAAACCACTACTTCAGGCAAAACAAGAAATGCATGCAGTAGCTTTCAAACAAGGTTGCTTCAGATGCCGCTGAGGATAACCTAGAAATGAAGTGACAAGTTGTCACTAGAAAAAAAAATGATGACTGCTTTGGAACAAGTTTGTAGAATTAAAACTTCTCGCCAGTACTTGCACAGTAAAACCTACCCTCCCTTTCTAACCAACTTTAAAGTAAGTTAAAACTAGGTTAATCTGCTCTGGCGCTATAGATTTGAAAAAAACCCTGAATTTCTTCAACAGTAGTGTTTTTTAGATAATGCGAAGGGGAATGCATTTGCATTTTAAACTTTGAAATATTCTCTTGGAGGAGACATGAACAAATATTTCATGCTTTTTTTTTCCTTTTTACACAAAACGTCAGTTTACACATCTTCATCTCAGAGGACAGTAAAAGATTAGCTCAGTTGCTTAGCGCGTGGTGCTGATAACACCAAGGTCACAGATTTGATACCCATAGTGGGCCATTCACTTAAGAATTGGACTCAATGATCCTCGTGGGTCCCTTTCAACTCAGAATATTCTGTGAAATGGAAGATATTAATAGGATTTATTTTAAATGTCTGATATTTGACTATAAAGGAGTGGAATACCGAGGAATTTTCCTTAACACTGTTTTCTTTCATAAACTCTTCTAGACTCAGAAAGGGCATTTCGTTAAAAGAAAATGCATTCCTAGCAGGGGTGTGAGCTGATACCGGAATATCCATTTGTATGTGATACCTTCTGACAATTCTAGTCTCTTCTTTTGTAGGTAATTGGTGCTTTTGGTGACTCTATTAAAGGTTATGGGGAGGCAACAAGAAGAGGAAGACGACAGCATGTCAGGTACCCTTTGGTGTTTGCCCATACAGACAGTAGTTTTTGCACAGTAAAGACATTTTGGGTCACAAATTAGATCTAGATTGAAGAACTGTATGTGACATACCCTGTCACTTCTGAGTGAACATACAAGTTTTTTGCAGTACCTCTTGTGTGACATGTACCAGTAAGTACAATAAAATACCAGTTCTGAGTGCCTCAAAACAAGCAATGGTCATCATGGCAAACGTAGAGCTGGTCTCTCCAAAAACCAGGAGGAGTCTGAAGAGAGTAGTAAAGAGGCCTAGACATGCGTGTGGAGAACAGGAATCTGACTGAAGTTTACAGTCTGAAACTGTTCTGAGCTGGCTACCCATTCCTTATATTGCCTTTTTTTTTTGAGGCCACATCTCTATTGTGTATTTAACAGAACATCTCTCACCTAAAGCTTTCATCAGTGTGTCTATTTATAACTCTCTTTTTGAGAAAAACAACAGAACTTCCTCTGTGCTTTGCCTTTATTGGGTTCTTTGACTGGAATATGTTCAATGAGGTTTCATATAGGATGAGACACATAACCCCCAATACACAACTTGAACCATAAAATTGAGGTTGGGGTTTTTTTGACTTTTACTAGTTAAAGTTTTATCTCTTCACCAGCCTCTGTGAAAAAGTGTTTAAAGCAGAGCTGCTAAATGAAATGAATATGCACAGACATTTTAAGCACCACTCTGTAAAATGAACTATGTAGATAAGTAAATGTATTATGAATCAGCTTTCCTGATTTTTCATTACCATCATTTTGAATGTCTAGTATTTAAAATAAATTTTTGAGCTGAGAACTGTGTAAGATTGTAGAGTTTGCACCAGCAGTATAAGGATGACCTTCAATGTCTCAAAAATGTACAGGGTTTTTTTTTGTGTATGAACACCTTAAATGTGAATTTACCACAGTAAGGCTCTTCATTCATCTTTGTTCTCTCTAACCCATCATGTCGCCTTAAACTGAATTCACAGTGTGTACCTGGGTATGACTGATGGAAATAAGAGCTTGGTAGAATGCAGCAGTTAGTAATTTCAGTAGGAAACATAAATTTGCACCAGAACTCTCATTTGACCATTAGTTTCTGAAAATGGTCACTTCGAAAGGAATGGGACCCTTCTATTTATCTAATACATGCACATAAACCAAATCCAGTCTAAATATCAGCATTTGGGTTGTAGATCTGATATCAATGCCAGAGTTATACAACTTCAACAGAATAAAATTATTGCCAAACTAAGTAAAGCACGTAATTAACTGTTTTGATGTGATTTAATCAGCCCAATACTTAAGTTGACAAAGCATGCTTTGTGTATTTTGGCTTTTTAACTTAGTTTAAGTGCCTAAAAAAAACCCTGGTAGTCGTGGTGATGTGGGCATCCTTTTCTAGGGGATGGCTCTGAATCCCAGGGTTCTTTAGAAGAAATACAAGGAAATTCCAGAGTCTTCAGTTACTGGATTGCTTTTGAGTTTTTAGGGGAGGATTGGGGTGAGAACATTTAAGCATTCCGTCTCTTAATCCTTAACAGCTAATTAGCTCTTCTAACTCCACTAGTCCTTAGGCACTCACAGTAAAGTTTGGGAAGAGCAGTAGAGAAGGAATCCATGGTAGCATAAGGACTCCATCAGAATACACTTTCTTACAAAATGAGTAAGCAACCCCTCTAAGTAAGTTTAAATTTGAAGTCTTAACTGGCATATAATATGTATCCTTGCTGGGTGGTTGGGTTTTTGTTTTGTTTTGCTGTTTTTAGTCACATTGAATACATAAAGGACGGATTGAAACATATGCGTTTGAAGTTCTATATTGAGGGCACTGAATCAGGGAAACAGGGAACAGTCCATGTGGAAGTCAAGGAGGTATGTACAATTGCTAAATATAGCTGGCAAGCTTAATCTTGAACTTAAACTGCCAAAGAGAAAAAAAACAGCCTGAAATTGTTTTCCTTACAGAATCCTGAAACAGGAAGATTTGAGGTCCGCTACATAATTGTGGATGTTGACACCTATCCGAGAAGAACCATTGTCATAGAAGACAACAGATAGCCAACGATCAAAGTTGCTGCCTTGTCTCATTGAGTGCTGGATAATACTGGGGTAGCCAGTCTACAACGTGAATTGTTTGGTGTTCTTGATTGTGTCTCCCAGCTTTGGGGTTGTGTTACCGGAAGTAGCCTCTCAGGGCATCCGTTAGGGACTTTTGGTAATAACAGATACAGGATTTAAAGTGAAAACAATGAAATATAGTAGAGTTATCATTTATGGCAGATAGTCTTGACATAGAAAAGCAATGGCTCATAATAAATTGATGCTGGATAATACTTCTGCACACCCAAATACTGAGTCTTCCAAGTTTTTAGGTTTGGATGGGAAGTTTTTTGTCTTCCTTTGCTTGGATTTCCCACTACCACTGCAATAAAGAAAGTGGTATTTTAACTGTAGACAAACTCTACTGTTTTCATTCTGGATGCCTTTGTAGGTCAGAAGGTAAAATAAGAATGTTAGTGATGCAAAACAGATCTAGCCCAAAAGCATGTAACGGTAGGAGGAGTGGAGGCACACAGCCGTGACAAACAGCTGAAGATAAAGACTTTAGTATTCATATCTTCTAAATAAATTAACACCAAACAGAACATCAGCACCATCTGCTCCTTCCAGTGTTTGCCATACATACGTGGTTGTAGCAAGGTGAGGGTCAGCCTCTTCTCCCAGGCAAGTAGTGACAGGATAAGAGGAAATGGCCTCAAGCTGTGCCAGAGGAGGTTTGGGTTGGACATCAGGAAAAATTTCTTCACTGAAAGGGTGGTCAGGCGTTGAAATGGACTGCCCAGGGAGGTGGTGGAGCCACCGTCCCTGGAAGTGTTCAGGAAATAACTGGATGTGGCACTTAGTGCTGTGGTTTAGTTGACACAGTGGTGTTGGATCAAAGGTGTGATCAGTGATCTTGGGCATATTTTCCAATCTAATGATTCTGTGATTCAGTGAATATAGCAAGTGAGTCAGTCTACCCCCTCATGGGAAGGGGAGCAGAGCCCTTTCAGGGTGCTTTCAGTCGTCCCTCTTTGCTGAAGTTGCATTACAAACCTTGTCATGGTTGTCTAAAAGTCAGTCATAGACAAGGGGAACTGTACTACTTGACAGTCGCTTTTTCTCTTGGCCACCTCCCTCAAGATCACAGAGAAAAGAGAGAAAGACCCCAGTATTTATAATTAACTTCTGATATTCAGATACTTATAATTGGTGACACGGGCTGTGCCCCCGGATGAATTGTATAACAGAGATGGACTTTTTACCATGCAGTGCTCATTACTCTCCTGTTGGCAATAAGCCACATTTATGGAAGACACTTCTATCTCTAAAAGTGTTCTCTTGTAATTTCAGGAGAACATTTTGTATTTGCTATAAAGCTGCCTTTTCTATAGAGTAACTAATGTGTTCAGGAAGTAGTGTACTTCACCATACTTTGTTTTCAAGCCCTGACACCAAAATGCAACAGTAAGAAATAGGGGCATACACATATAAAATGTTCATGAAGCTAAATGGTAGTTAATATATTCACTGGTGTCTCTTTAAGAAAACTATCAAGCTCCAAATACTGTTACCTTCAACATGTTTTGAAAAACACAACATTCCATTTAAACTTCTCTCTTTCCCACCTTGTCTATGTCTAGAAGTGTTACTTATCAGGGAATGTTCTTCGTCCATAAGGTGCTGCTCATGATTTTCTTTTACTGTCTGCATCACCTGACTAGCTAAGCAGATATACCAGGATGCTTTTCTTCTTATTTCTTGGATGGAGGACATGACTCTAAAGGACATCACTTCTCCTGCATTATGAAAAAGCTGACAATATACTTGATAAAATGAAGACAAAAGTAGCAGAAGAAATCCACCTTTACCCAAGCTTAGATATATTAGTGTTCTTAATTTGAACAAATGACAAATACAAGGCTTAAATGCTTTCCTATCTCAGTGACGGAAAGCTTTTGCTAGTCCTTTTTCTAGGAACATCTCTTCAAGTGAAGGAAAAAAAGAACTTCATAGCTTCATTTATCATTCTCCTCCTAGCTAGATACCTATCACCAGCAAGATTATTTAAGCCCCATGAGATTTTCAAGAGTATTAAAGTTTTATACATACGTAGTTTGGCTGCAGAAAAAGAAGTTAAACAGTTTTTGCTAACAAGTCTTGTGGGAACTAGTTACTTCTTTCCATATACCTTCTGAGGCTGAAGTTCTGTTGGTCCCTATGGACCAGGCTGGCTTAAAACATTTCCTTAAATCCTGTTTCATGCAAGCAAATATATGGAAACACCATAATCAAAATTAGGTAAGATGAGTCCAGCAAGACATCTGGAATACAGAACATTGATCTCTTCTGCAGTACCACTTTACCTGGTAGTTTCCACTGGAGGGGAACAGCTGCATTCACTGAGTTTAAACATCATGTTTGAGAACACCCCTGTCCTAATTCTCAAAACAGCCTCAGTTGTTCCTTATAAAGCTGCCCCTGCTTCAGTGGATTGCTGTGCTACCAGTAAGCCATGCAGAGATCCTTCTGTATGGTAAGCAGGTCAGTGTTCCATCCTCTCACTGGATCATGGAACGGGAGACGGCAAAGTAACTGGAAGGTTCACCTTCACTTGTCAGTAAACACAAGCAGTAACCATTTCAGTGTTTCCTTTTTAAAGGTCTTTCTTCTTTTTCTCTGGGAAAACACAGAATTACAGTGTATACCAGTTATTTCTGATGTAGAAGTGTCATGTTATTGTTACTAAAGTGGTGGGGGGGAAAAAAATCATTGCCAGTGAGTCAGAGCCAAAACAATGACATTTTCATGGAAATTAAACACATTTTCCAGAGTTCAGTTTTGATTGTTACAGAATTAATAAAATTGTATATGCTCTAAACCCCCTTCTTCTTTAGGAAATGAAAATATGTCACTCACCAGTGAAATGTTGTTTTTCCAGAAACTCTTGTGGCAGACTACTCAAAATGTATTTAAGGCATATGTACAATTTGGTCTTAACTTTCCTGTCTCTGCACTCATTTTTGTGGATGACAAAACTTGTGTATATAGTGTAGGCAGCCAACATCCTGAGAGCTGGTTAGTGGGAATAATAATATTACCATATTATTTTTGTGAACTCTCTTTGAGTCTAGGTCCTATGTATACCTGCTGTATAGTGACAAAAAGAAATATCCCTTCAGGAAATTACTTTAATGAAAACTTTAAAATATCAAACATTATTACTCTTTCACTAAGCTTCAGTAAACAGAAGATCTTGCAAAGAAAACGTAATCTTAGGCTGGGAAGGAAAAGTGGTGTTGTGCATGACTGAGTTTAAAAATGATCTGGATACCTAAATATTTCCATCATGGAATTCAAGTTAAATGATTGATTTAGGCAGTAGAGTCATGATCTTGGAAATGGTTGCAAATAAATACATGTCTGGTAACAAGAAACTTGAAAAAACTCACTTAACAAGCAGAGAAGACAGGAATGTGAGTAAGACAATTATTGTATCGCATGCCAACTGCAGAAATAAAAAGCCAGAGAAGGTATGCTGGGGGTTTTCACAATTCGTTTCAGTTTACTCAGTCTCATTCACTATCACAAGAGGTGCTATCCATTCTAATACTCGTGGGATTGTTCCAATGTGTAAATTATCAGCAACCTAACCTGTTACAGGTTACATCTAAAAAACATTGAAGACACATATTGAGTCAAAGCCCACTTTTAGGATTCATTGTGGCCTGTAAGCTGATGGAAATACATAAGGCAAGCACAGAGACTGGGGAAAAAGTATAAAGGGAAAAAAGTTTGAAGGAGCAACCCTAGAAATGACAGTAAGGGCTCATAACTGGCCTCTCTATATTGGGTTGTGAAGTCTGCTTGGAGATCGAAATACAGTTGGCACTAGAAAAACAGGAATTTGAAAATAAAAAGATCTTCCTCCTCTTTTTCAGGAAAAAAAAAAAAGCTTAGTCCCTAGAGAGATGTTCACTTGCTCAGAATGCAGAATAATAGAACACTAGTAGAAATTCTCCTTAGGCACCTGGGAATGGGTATCATTATGATATACAGTGATTTGAAACTGTCCTATAAATAATTGAACAGCATAAGTATTTGATAGTTGTTCTTATGAAGCTTTCAGGGGGTTTTATTCTGTATGGAGCAGATCATCCTCAGTGCAATCACACAGCACCTGAAGGATGGACTAGGGATCAGACCCAGCCAGCATGGGTTTAGGAAGGGCAGGTCCTGTCTGACCAACCAGATCTCCTTTTATGATCAGATGACCCACCTGGTGGATGAGGGGAAGGCTGTGGATGTGTCCACCTGGACGTCAGCAAAGCCTTTGACACCGTCTCCCACAGCATACTCCTGAAAAAGCTGGCAGCCCACGGCTTGGACAGGGGCACTCTGTGCTGGGTTAGGAACTGGCTGAAGGGCTGGGCCCAGAGTGGTGGTGAACGGTGCTGCATCCAGTTGGCTGCTGGTCACTAGTGGTGTCCCCCAGGGATCAGTGCTGGGCCCAGTTCTGTTTAATATCTTTACTGATGATTTAGATGAGGGGATTGAGTCCATCATCAGCAAATTTGCAGATGACACTAAGTTGGGGGGGAGTGTTGATCAGCTGGAAGGCAGGAGGGCTCTGCAGAGGGACCTGAACAGGCTGGAGACTTGGTGTGATTCCAGAGGGATGAGGTTCAACAAGGCCAAGTGCCAGGTCCTGTTTGGCCACAACAACCCCCTGCAGCGCTACAGGCTGGGCACAGAGTGGCTGGAGAGCAGCCAGGCACAAAGGGACCTGGGAATTTGGATTGACAGGAAGCTGAACATGAGCCAGCAGTGTGCCCAGGTGGCCAAGAAGGCCAATGGCATCCTGGCCTGGATCAGGAACAGTGTGGCCAACAGGTCCAGGGAAGTGATTCTTCCCCTGTACTCAACACTGGTGAGGCCACATCTGGAGTGCTGTGTCCAGTTCTGGGCCCCTCAGTTCAGGAAGGATATTGAGGTCCTGGAGCAGGTCCAGAGAAGAGCAACAAGGCTGGTGAAGGGACTCGAGCACAGGTGCTATGAGGAGAGGCTGAGGGAGCTGGGGTTGTTGAGCCTGGAGAAGAGGAGGCTCAGGGGAGACCTCCTCGCTCTCTACAACTCCCTGAAAGGAGGTTGTAGCCAGGTGGGGGTTGGTCTCTTCTCCCAGGTAACTATCAATAAGACAAGAGGGCACTGTCTCAAGCTGTGCCAGGGGAGGTTTAGGTCAGTTATTAGAAAGAAATTCCTTACAGAGAGGGTGGTCAGACATTGGAATGGGCTGCCCAGGGAAGTGGTGGATTTTCCATCCCTGGAGGTTTTTAAGATGAGACTGGATGTGGCACTTAGTGCCATGGTCTAGTAACCACGGTGGTAGGGGATCAAGTGTTGGACTTGATGA